GTCTCTGACTGTGAATCACACAGCTCTGTGAATACCTCCTGATTGGCTATTTTGGTGCTGCAGCTCAGTTCACTGTGGTAGAACACAGATGTGGGTTTCTGTGAACACGTGAACGAGTACTTCATCTGAGTACTTCATCTGAGTACTTCATCCTCAGATGAAGTACTTCATCTGAGGATGAAGTACTCGTTCTCTGTACTCCTAACTCTTTCCAGGTTAGAGTTAGCTAGAAGTTAGTATTTATAGTATTTATATTTGTATTTATATATGTGCATGTATATTTGTGTTGTTGTCTCACCTGTGTGGTCGTTGGTCGTTGGTCGTTGGTCGTTGGTCGTTGGTCGTTGGTCGTCACTGAGACTGGTCTCTGATTCTTCTTCTTCTTCTTCTTCTTCTTCTTCTCTGCTCAGGTGGTCAACGCCCTGGAGGCCAACCCCACCGCACGCCGCACTCAGCTGCACCACAAGTTTGAGCAGGTGGTCGCTCTGGTGGAGGACAACATCTATGAGTGCTGTAGTGAAGCCTGAAGCTAAGACTGCGTCTCCTCCTCCTCCTCCTCCTCCTCCTCCTCCTCCTCCTGACAGCTGCCTCTCCTCCGTCTTTTCATCGTCGTCTGGAACCTCTGCCACTGCGGAGTTAGCCTTTCAGGGTCTCCCCACTTCTCACACAGACTCTGGGAGTGTGACCCTGGTCCTGGTCCTGGTCCTGGTCCTGGTCCTGGTCCTGGTCCTGGTCCTGGTCCTGGTCCTGGATTTCTCCAGCGTTTCACTGCGACATTCTCCCAAAAACTTTCTCAGTGACTCGGAAAGATTTTCTTTCTGCCGCGGAAAAGATTAAGAAGGAACGTGAGAGCGTCTTTTTCCTGGAAGTCTTTACTGTTAGTGGGAACTGCAGGTGGCGCTCTTTTAACGCACTGAACCCTTTCCTGAGGGGACGAGCCATTAATGCACTGTACTGTATTATAATGTCTATAGCAATATTTATAGATACAATGACACCATGGACATGAGTCTACAGGGAGACTGCTGATTGGATGAGTGGGGCTCCTCCCACTGCACCGCTCTGAGCTGTGATTGGCTGTGGAGCGGTGTCAGTCTGATCAGCAGCTTAATGATTGTTGATGATTAGAAATATAAAGGTGAGTGAAGTGAGTGGACGGAGTCGACTTCACTGTAAAAGAGGGAAATTTACAGATATATAAATATATAAGAAATAAAGTGGTCTCAATATAAGGGTCTGTGAACGTCTGTGGCCGGTGGGAACATTTACTCGCCCTCTCTCTCTCTCTCTGCTTTTTGACCCATTTGTCTTTTCAGGTATTTAAAGCAAATGCATTGAAGGCACCAACCAGGCACCAACGTTTCCTACAATTAAACCTCTGGTTCGAGGACCACATGTAGGGCCGCGCAGCCACGGTCCTCTTTGAAAACAAATATATGTATATACCTAAATATATACATATATAAATCAGTAGAGAGAGAGGGATGAACCTGGGGGGGCGAGGGGGAGGGGGGTCTGTAACCTTGATGCCAAATGACATGTTGAAGTTTTTAGGATTTAAAAATGTCTAATAAGAAACACACGTCTGTGAGTTGTTGTTTTTTTTTTCTTCAAAAACTCGTCTCGAAAATGTTTCACATTTGAAACTCTTTAGATCTGAAAAACGTTGACCTTTGTTTTTAATATATCTGTGAGAGGAGAAGCTTTTTACCCTGAACAAACATCCTCTCAGTGCCCCCCCCCCCTCCCCCCCCCACACACACACACACACACCCACACACACACACACACACCCCCACACACACACACACACACACTCACACACACAGTTCTCCTGCTGAGGCTAATCTGAGGCCCATCTGTTTACACTTATTTTAGCTAAGAGCAGCTTCATTAAAGATGTGAAAAGACACACACACACACACACACACACACACACACAGACACACACACACACACAGACACCTGACCTGAGGTTCATCTCAGTGTCCAAACACGACAGGAAACTTCAGGTCTGGTTCAG